ATTCTTCCAGAGTCTCCTTCCCATGGGTCCAGATGATGAAGAGGTAGGGAGTGGTTCTGAGTAGATGGTGGAGTTTCTTAGTGTATTCCTCAGTGGGATCTGAGGAAAGTGGCCTGTAGAATTTGGTATTGGAGAGTTGTCTGGCAGCCTCCTTTTGGTAGTCAGACCTGTTCATGATGACAACAGCACCTCCTTTATCAGCCTCTTTGATTATAATGTCAGGGTTGTTTCTGAGGCTGTGGATGGCATTGCATTCTGTATGAATGTTATATAGTGTTCAACTATATAGTATCTTACTGATGTCATCACCATATCATATATATTTTTTGCTGCTGCTGCTGTTTAGGGAGCACAGAACATTTAACACAGTGGCTACATTACATTAATTTCTCAATAACTCAATGTGAATTTTTTAAAACTATCTATTCAGATTACAGTATTAAGGTAGGGGACATTTGGGTGTTAGGCTACTTCACAAAGCAGGGGTAGTAAACAGGCGGACCGTGGGCCAAATCCAGACTGCCAGACACTTTTGAACGGACCTCAAAATCTTTTTATTTACTTATTATCATTATTGTTGTTATTAGAGTCTCCTCTGTAATTTCTATAGACCAAGACAGATCAAGGCTTATTTCTATTCTACAGGGAGTCCTCGTACTTATGACACCCAACTTACATCGGATGCCACTTACAACACTTTTTCAACTGACTGCCTGTTTCACCCCTAAGATGCTTGTTTTGCCCTTACCAAGCTCGATTTGCATAAAGTTCACTTGAAATATTTATTTCCTGGTTGCATTATACTGGTATGGAGCTGGAAAGGGTTGCTTCTGATTGGCTTCAAGGCAGTAGGTAGGGTTGCCGATTGTTTTTGATTGGCTCCTGACCCTGGGTTCAGCCAATCAGAAAGCTTGAACAATGATTGGCTGAAGCTCAGCATGTATGCCATTCTCCCTGGCTTTCTGAGCCTGCGAGGCTGGCATTCTGAGCAGCACATGTGAGTGTATATGTTTATTTGAATGCTGTTTACAAAATACAGTGTACAGTAAATACATTGATGTTGAAACATTAGTCATCTATAATTAATTTAGTACAAAAATCTGGGTTATTGTAGTGAAAATAGTGTATCAAGCCTTGGTTCAGGAATGAATCCCCCCCTTCATACCATTGATTCCTATGGGAAAAGCAGTTTCAACTTACAACGCAATTCTGAGGAACGAAATGTGTCGCAAGTCCGAGGACTTCCTGTATACAGGTTCTTATACTGAACTCTAAGCCCACTCCAGTAGTTCATTAAGCAATGTGTGGTTTATTCTCTCTTTCATCTTCTTCCCAGAGGGAGAATTGGGTGTACTCTGTAGTATTTTGTTTTGGTTTGTTTTAAAGGCACACATTGCTATGCGTTTATGTTAGCGAAGACAGAGTTGAAGAAATGTGCCTTGCAGTTGGAGCAGAAGGTGATGAGGTTTGTGATGGTCCTTAGCTCCAGTGGGAGTTTATTCCACAATCTCAACTGGCCCCTGAGAAAGTCTTATATCCTGCACAGAAGTGCTTTAACTTTATGGTAGAAAGTCCCACAGTGCCTGAAGAGGTGACAAAGACCTGTATATAACTCATCATTGGCAGTCTCCTAACCAACCAGAGATGGTAAAAAGTCACTGCTGGATACTGCTATGTGAGAATTTAGCATCAGCAAGGAATCCAGGAGCACTCCTAAACTACAGACGGAACTGACCAATTGTGGATGTGTACCTTCAACCGAAGGAGATGGCACCACGGTTGCACAATTTTCAAAATTCTTTTCTTTTCCCAGCAGCATAACCTCTGCTTTGTTCAGATTCAGTTTTAATCAGATGTTCTTCACCCAAGAGCTGATCTCTTCCAACCACTGGGCTCTATTGGTGGTAGTTTATGGTGATATGTAGTGACAGGTAGAGTTTTGTGCCATGTAGATGGATCTTTGTGCCTGTGCAGAAGCTTAGTGAAGTCAATGGAATATTGGCACTTGGGTCCAATTGTATACTGTAAGGTTATAACTTCACCAGTCAGTCACAAAGTGTCAGCGACAGAGCAGATACTAATCCTTTTCCTTCTAAAGTGCTAATGCTGCACTTAGATACATGTGGGCAGACCTATCTACACAGACTGACTTCAACAGGGATCCACATGGCTGCCTGTGTGGATCTGAATGCAGAATGGGCCTTAGACAATACACCTCCAATGCCCCAACACTGTGCTCTGGAGAAACGAGTTGAGGAGGTACCATTTTTCAGGTGAGACTTAAAACTGATGTCCGGAGCTGACCAGCAGTGGTCATTGAAGATTCTCTAGTGGACAACTTGGATAAATGCCACTGCAAGTTTTCTGTCCTACACTTA